GATAGATAGATAGATAGATATAGATATAGATATTTGTGTCAGTGTCCAATTAGGCCTGAGCCTACTTTACATACATATACATTATAAATATACATAAACGCGTGGGAGCAAAATTGTTGAAATCAGCACATTTTATATACACTTGATGACAATTTAGTGTGACAGCATTTGTCAGGGATCTCTAGAACAAAGTCTTCAGTTCAACTTTAGTTCTACAAATTAAAGAAACAGTGCTGAAAATATTTCTTAGCAAAATATTTAAAGGGGCAATAATATATGTTTCTTAAGCATATATTTAAAACCACAGCATACCATAATAAAGTATCTATGTCACCTTTAGTTGTTATTAAAATGCTGTTTTTATGTTTAAATAGAAAATAAACTTATTTTCTCATCACTTCCTCTTCTAAACGCCTTGAAATTGGCCTCTGTCTCTTTAAGAACCTCCTTCTGCTTCTGTCCCGTCCCGTTCAGTGTGTGGGGTGGGGGGTGGGGTCGCGCGTGCACTATGATGCAGTTTACTTGGCATCTGAAAATACAGTATATTTCCTCAAAGGTATTTTTAATCTGAAAAGAGCTTCACTGAGTGAGAAGTAGTGTTGAGAGCTCAGCAGACAGTTTAAGTTTCACCAGTGAGGTATATAGACTAGAGAGGCTACCCCCGTCAAGTGGCTGGGGCCAAGGTATGCTAAGCGCGACGGCATCTTGAAACAGTCTACTTAAAGGGATGAGGCTATTTAAATTATGTAAACAATGCTGAGTACTTACCAGATTAACAGGTTTTTCTTTTTAAAGTAGCCCCGATTTACATGTGCTCTATAACACATTTACACACACAGATGGTTTAAAGAAAAAGATTATTTTACTATATTATTTAACAAATAATATTATTTTTATTAACAATGTAGTCAAAACAAGGAAAAGAAAGTATACTAAAATTACAAACATTTTCCACTATGATTGCTACAAGTGGACGCTGCACAGTGACACGGCATTGCAGGTCTGTGTTCAATGGTTGAATGACTGTTTCAAGATGGAGTCGCGTTCAGCACACCCAAAGTCCGGTGATAGCCCGTCTAGTAAATATACCTCATTGAGTTTCACTTTCACTTTGCTCTGTTACTGCCGAGAGCCTGCAGAAGTCATGGGCGGGGTGTGTGGGGTTGGGGGGAGGGGAGGTGTGCTCCGTGATGAGGAAGTTTGGCTTAAAGACACGTCCCAGGGGTGTTTCTGGTCCCAAAAAGCGTTTCTAGTCCCTACCTTTCGTTTTGCTCCTCAGTATGGCTTCATAAAAACGCTGCAGGATTTATCAAACATGCATGAATGAGTCAAAGCAAGGCTTTGGCCATGTTTTTTTTATGAGAGTATAACATTACAACATGATATAAAACTAAAAAAAGTTGATTTTACATGATATTGCCCCTTTAATGAATAACCACAACCAATGCATTGTTTTGTTTTGCCCAAATAAATACAAAAATAGTGATAACTCAGTCATATTTGGCCTACATATCAAACTAATATTGATAAGGTAGAAGCTAAACAAACAAAAAACAAACAAACAGAAAAAACATGTTAACTCTGATCTAAAATACAAGATGACTGCCATCTTTGAAAAAATGACTGTACCTCAGCCATTTTTAGACATATTGACCTGAATGTGGGTATGGTGGTCACTGACAGTGATTTCCAACACAAAGTAAAGGCGTATAAAAAAAAATCTAAAATGTTCATCATAGCTAAAAAGAAAAGATGACCTCAGGCATTTTTTTGGCACAATGGGCCTCATGCAAGAACCGTTGGTACGCACAGATTTGTTCTTAAGTTGTGCGTACGAGTGATTTAGGAGAATTTGTGGCATTCACCAATGTTTTCGTATTCTAAGATTTTTTTCTGATACAAACAAAATCGTATCTGAATAAATGAAAATGATTTAACACAGTTGTTTATACTTTTAGCAGCTCTTTTTGTTCCACAGCTGACC